TGTAAACTATGTGAATAGTCCCCTGTGTTTTTTATCTGACCAACTTTGGTCACCAATTTAAAAAATAAGAGGAAATGGTCCCTAATGTTATAGATCCATTTGATTTAGTACCTAATATTATCGATCCATTCGATGTTAGTCCCTCAACTATTAAATCACGTTCAATTTTAGTCCCTCAACCATGTTAAGGACTTAACAAAAGGGGTTAACAAAAATTAATAGCAAATTGACTTAAATCGGATAGACCAATTATGGGAGGGGCCATTTACCCTTAATTTGTAAATTAGTGACCAAAGTTGATCAGACTCTAAACAAAAGGGACTATTCGCATAGTTTACCCAAATATTATAATATAACCTTAAACAATATCGGCATATTTTCCTTTTTTTTACTTTATAATTTCAAAGTAAATTAAATCAAACATCTTCGTTCGAAGTTGCTAACCAGAACTTTAAGATAACTATAAATTATTAACGTGCATGAATCGACTTAAATAATTTTTAAAAGAAAACAAAAGAATGAATCAACTTGAATTTTCAAAATTTTTATACTTTTAATTTTTTATTAATACCCAAATAAGTGCTCAAACTATACTTTTTTTCCTGAATAGGTGCCTACAATATTTTTTGGACCATCCAGGTGTCTGACGTTATTACTTTAGGTGGGACTCTCAACGGCGTTAGTTTTTTTCATTAAGTGACAAGTGTCACAATCTGATAATTTTAAAATTTTATATAAAATTTTAAAAATAAAATTATATATTTAAAGAAACACATATAAATTTCTAAATAACACTAAAACTTTGAAAACCTTCATTTTAACCTCTAAACCCACGTTGACTGCCACCCTTTGTTGTCGAGGAAGCTCCACCCGACCTCACCTCCCCCTAGCAACCAAAAACCATATAAAATTGTGATCAATTGACGTCTTATAGCACTCGAACCATAGAATGAAAATCGCGATCCTACGCAATTATAACGGCCAATCGACGACAACTATTGTAACATATAACTAGGATGATGACAAAGACTACGTCGGCGACCGTGGTCGTGGCCAAAAGGGCGGTGGAGGCTGGTTAGTGTTAAAATTTGGGGATTTTGATGCATTTGTATAATTTAAAAGAAATTATGGTTTTTTATAAATATAATAATATTTTAATACTTTTTTAAAAAAATAAAATTATCAAATTGTGACACGTCTCAGTTAATGAAAAAAACTAACGACCTTTACGTCTCGGACACCTAAAGTAGTAACGTTTATAATGTTGTACATCTGAATGATCTAAAAAAATACTATAGGCACCTATAAAAAAAGATATAGTTTAGACACTTATTTGAACTTTCATTTTACATTAGGATGCTGTGATTTGGAGCGAAACCCATTTTGTCTTTTTTTGTAAAATTTGTATACTTTTAAATCAAACGGCCTGCTTTGTTCCAAGGAGATTTGCGCCATACTGAAAAAGAGTAATTTCACCTTTGGTCCTCCTTTTGTTGAATGCTAATGCAATCTAATCCTATTTCTAGTTATTGCTTTATTAGTTATGGCTGCTACTTTACATCTTGATTTGATTTAGTCCCATTATATGCCTAAATAGGATACTGGTTTGCATCTAGTTAAATTTTGCATTTTGTCATTCTTTCACTTTAACCACCATTACATGTCATTTTTGTACATTCGAACCTTATGCTATTCATGTGCACATTATTTATACTATTTATATTACATTATTATTATAACAACTATCCCTAGTTTTCTCTCCTAATTTTCTCTTCTAATTTTCTCTCATTGATAAGTAGTTTATCTATTTTTTTATCTTTATTGATCGACGACAGCATTAACTTTAATGTTGATTGCTGACCGTCGATATTTTTTATTATCCTTTTATTTTCTTATATTATATCTTTATTTTTTATTTTTTTTTTCAATAAGTTTACCTGTATGATACGTTTTTATTTGCCTTTATGGTACGTTTTTCTGTCTTTTAGCACGTTTTTCTGTCAATTGACAGTTGTTTTCACTTATCTTTTTCTAGGATTGATTTGACATCGCCACAACTGATCAAGATGACGTTTATATATTAAATTATTGATATTTACTGCTTTGGACCTTCGGATTTGATTTGGATACTTGTTATGTGTTCATGGATAGTTTTTCACGTCGTTTGAGTCTGATTTGCAGTTTGTCGATAGTCTTTTAGTATCTTGATCATCTTTTGTGGTTCGTTTGCCGATACAATCAGATCTGTTTGTATATATCTTTGTTCGAGTTTTTTTAGTTAGATTTTAATCTTTCCTTGTATGGTCCTCATATGATCTTAAGTTGTTAGTTTTTATTTCAATGATTATATGAAATTGTCTTAATTGTGTGTTTAATTTACGATTATGATTATAATTTTTTATTGTAATTTATGATATTTCTTATTTTGAATAAAGTTATCGATTTCTATAAAAAAAATATTACATTATTATTTTATAAATGTTATTTTACACTATATTATTTTATGCTATACGCATATGTCATATATATGTATACATGGGGTAAATGTATTTTTTATACTTTTATTTATTTCGTAAAATATATATACCGTGTAGTTTATATTGACTATTTTTTACATATTAAATATACTAACTTGTAAATATTATATGTGATTATTTTGCGTTTGTAAAAAATTATTATCATAATAATAATAATAATAATAATAATAAAATTATTATTATTATTATTATTATTTTGCATCATTTGATATAGTTTGTATGATATCCTCCGAGCATTATTTCATCAGATTAAATAATTGAATTAAGGGTAATAATCTTGCATTTTAACATTATCGTGAGATGACTGTCTTAAGGTATAAGAATGTATTTCCAATAATTTTAAAATGAAACGATATCCCGACACGTAAAATCCTAAAAAATTGATTTTATCTAAAATTTGGGTACGAAAGAAAAAAGAAATATTCGTATATTTAAATTTATCGAGAGAAGATTGTTTGCACTTATAAAAAGGTTGGTCTTAATATTTATAAATAGTCAAACATTCTATATTTCATCTAAAAGGATTGGATTCATGATTAATAAAGTTTCTTTGTTCAGTCTTTTTATTCATGTATGTTCTTGGAATATGGATTAATAACGAACTTTTGAATGAAATTGGGATATTTTTTTCGTTTCAATTGGAAAAGAGAACCGATTGCTTTAACTCATTAGAGTCATTTTCTTCTTGTTGGGAAATGATTAAATATTAGAGTTTTCATTCTTAAATTCAAGGATTGATATTTTTATGTGAGCTTTAAAAAGGATCTCTAATTAAATTAAATTTGAATTTATAATTTTCATTGCAAAGACAACCACACAATCGACTAGGTATCGATTTTAGGGCGTTGTTGAGGTGCTAGTCCTTTCCTACACCTAATTGACTCCCAAACTCATTTTCTGGTTAAGCAGACAATCACACTCTATTCAAATATTGGTAGCGACTTCTTGAACTATGATTTTATACTATTTAAAGAAAACCCTAATTTAGACAAAACTCTAATTTAGACAAAACAAACCTTAAAACGGGTTTTTGATTTTTGGGACGTTATGATAGTTTCATCCAAATTTCAAGTAGCCTAGTGTTATTTAGCATGTTATAAGCATCATTTCAATGTTAAAATCGTTCTTTGTGACTTCGGCTTATTGGAAGAGTGGTGTGGGACTTTCAAGAGTAAAAGCAATGAGAACTTGGCCCTTAGATAAGTTGGATCAATTTTGGGAGTGCTTGTGAGCTGAGGTAACACCTAGTAACTTCACTTTACTACTTATATGGGTTGAAAAAACACGTGGGGCTCAGGTCCTAATGAAAATTGTTATGGACTTTTTGGACGTTATATTGGCTTACAAATGATGTATAATAACCTCTAATGACTTACATAAGTTTTAACAATCAACTTTGACCTTAAAATAAGTATTTAAGGTGAGTTCGAGGGCGATTCCAAGTGAAACACTACATTTCTAGATTTTGATATCGACATTGGATTATCTGGTACCGATACCAGATGAATTAGAGCAAAATTTGGGGATTTTACAAGAGTAGTATTGATACTACTCCTTTAGTATCGATAATGAGGGCAGTATTATTGCTATTAGGATGCGTTTTGGCGACTTTAGATTTATTCTTGATACTGATACTCATGAGGGTATTAATACTCATGAATTGGTATCAATACCCATAAAAAGATACTGACATAATTATATCTTTACATCTTTAAGTGTGATTATAAACTACTGACGTAATAGACTAATTAGTTACTGACGATTTTTTCTCGTCCAACTGAACATTAACTATATCTTTACATGATCAAAAAGAATTGTCCGTCCAGCTCAGTTGGTAGAACGCAAGGCTTTTAATCTTGTGGTCGTGTGATCGAGTCCCACGGTGAGCAATTCACAATTCTGACTGTCGGAGATCTTCCACGAAAGTTGCTCTTAACCTGGTGTTGGAGGCAACCTATTACCTTACCTCCCCCTCACCCCATTATATATGAAAATAGGATCAGCTAATTTACATGATCAAAAAGTCATTTTTCTAAATAATTTTTTTCATTGCTATTGTGATAATTATTTTTTGGATATGTATTACTCTTATAAAATTACTAATGATTTGCAGGTGACATCATTATTCCTAGGTCATCATTTTTTCTTATTATGTTACGTTTTATTTTCTTATAAATAATAATAATATTAAAATAATGAATTGTATTCGCATGTCTAACCCCTATAATTGATCTCGCATTGATTAATAGTCCAAAAACATTAATAAAAAAACTGGTATTTATATTTGAAATTTTAAAATTTTTCATAAAGTTGCAACATTTAAATATAATGAAATAGATTAATATATAAACAACAAAATTGAAAATAATTGTAAAAGATTATTAAAAAACAATACAGCAAATACAAGTATTTAACAACCTGCCTGAAAGAGCACATTATTATAGCTAAAATCATACGAGAAACTGATCAAATCAAATATTATTATAAGCTAAAAGCACAAAAGTGAGACCCTTTCCATCTCAACGCAACACATCCATTTCCTATTTAGGGAGAGATCCTTTAAGCTTGACTACAACACATTCATTTCCTCGTATATTTTCCTGAGGATTTCTCCTTTGCATGATATATAATAGAAATTAGAGAACATGCACTAGATATACATTCTCCCTAAAACAAAGTAACATAGATTCCAGAACTGTGAAAACTTATCTTGTATCCACATTATAAATACCGAACTATCCCGACACTAAAAAAATCTCAACTTACAAGCCTATGTTTTCGGTCTCTTCGGCTGTTGACTGTAGTTCCCAAATTTTCCGGATACGGCTGTCTCGGATAATGTATCCCAAACCTGCATGATAGTATTGTAATAATCATCACCCCTCCATTAAATGGTTAACCAAATTTCAGTTATAGCAAAGCATGATATTGCAAGGTTCTCCACTCACTCCTAATTTTCCCTTAGAGCCTCCAATAGCCAGCAAAAAGGGATTATCTTGTGAGAAGGAAATGGAGAAGACAGCTCCCTAATAACATTCACAACAAAGTTTGATAATGAGTAACATATTATAGTTAAAATACACACAAACACTGATTCTAAAATGCTCTTATATATCACTCACTGCTTTAGGATTCTTGGACGCAACACAAGAAGGTTGATTGTTTGACAAATCCCAAAGTTTTACCTATGCAAATGAAGATCAACCAATAAAACCGCCTAAACTATATTCGCAACTATAACAGTATATGAAAGCACTACAAGAAAACCTTCATTTACCATTTTGTCCATGGAACCAGTCGCAAGAAGCTGTTAGAAAAATAAAAGAAATGTCATGCTCCAGAAAAATATATAACCTGACCAAGGAATGAGAAAGAGACATAAGTTTGTACATTTGGTGCTGCAGGATTATACGAAATGCTGCAAGCAGCTTTGTCATGAGCATGGAGAGTAAAACTTGGTTTTGACTCGGAAGATGGATCAGACTTGGCAGCTCGAATATCATAACCTCTGATTGTACCATCTTCAAGACTCACCTGGTCAAAACTTAAATATTTTTATGCATCCAATTAACAGGCATAGCTTTCTTCTCTATTTCTAAATAGAACAATTAGATAAATGAAACATCACCAAAATAGCCCCAAGTAAAGGTTGAAGCACAAACCACAAATGAGTACTCTGTGTGAGGATCCCATGCCAAACATTCAACCTCAGCAGTGACGGACCACTTAAAACCAGAATGAGTTGGCACTCTTCCATCCTTCTGCAATGTATAACCATGGTATATGTGTAAGTCTGAAAACCTTGAAAGTTCAAGCAATTAAGGTAGAAAAGCCAAACCCAAATTGCTTCAGGCAGAACACCAGACTCAAATACAGGTTGCTTCGGCAGAAGCTGAAAGCATGGACACATTTTAGGAAAGTAAACAATTTAATTACCATGACAACCGAACGATCAAATGATCCACTAAGAAGAACTTGTGGCACATGATGATTCCAAGCAACAGCTTGAACCTACACGGTACACAAATGAGAATATTTTATTTACAGCGACACTTAATAACAAAATTCAATATCAATTAAGTAGTTGAAAGTTACAACTGCGATTGCTATAGAAGTCAAAATTACAGTTGTGTTTTTTCGTATCTATTTGCCATCTAATATAACAATCCAAACTCCAAAGAACAAATAATGCAGACAGAAACACAGAAATAAGCAAACTTTACAACAATCCACTTGTGCAGTTCCGAACATCCTCTGTCTTAATATCTATTAATGCTTTAGAATGAAGATAAAATTAGCAAATGAAAAGTTGGTGATAGAAAAAGACTGATGACTAGATCAAATAGAACCCCGAATTAGCTTGACCCAACCTTTTTTAAGGTAATATTCATTCAATTGTTTTATACCCTAAAATTTTCATCTAACAGTTGCATAGGCAGTATCTATGAAACATGCACCTAAAATGAGCTGTGGAGATGAAACCTAGATTGAAACAATATATGTAGCATACATGCATTCTATCTATGCATAACCAGAATATATTTGGAAGACAATTTCTATGGCTTTAGCAAAAGCTCAATTCTAACCTTGCCTTCATGATGTTCCATGGTTATGTTGCATTTTCCAGCAGCAACATCCCAAATCTTTACTTGTTTGTCAGCACTTGCACTAGCAAGGATATTCCTAAAGAAGGAAAAACATGAAGTGTAAGAAAAAGTAATTTCATTGCAAGTTTCCATTAATGGAAAACAGGCAAAACATGGAAGATCAAAATTACCTGTATTCCTTGTTCCAAGCTAGACCAAGAACCGCACCAGTATGACTACCATCCTTGTATTTTGATTTCTAATGCAAAGCAAGTGAAGTGAAATAAGAATTAAGTTGCTTTCATAATTCTATACGTTAGACAACCATGTATTTTTAACAGATTTCTGCTAGAAACGGAGACAAAAAATCACTTAATTTTCTAACACATAAGAAAATTATATATATACATATAGCATAAATACCATTTTAATTCAAGTCGAAATTCTTCATAATCAAAACTAAAAACAGATGTGCAAAAAAGATCAGCTGCAAATGAAGAATAAAAGGACGCACACTAAGTTTCATGAAAAAGTAATAGAGAGGTCTTAAACTGTACCTTTTTTTTTTATAAAAAGGAAGGCCTCGTTAAAAACCCCCTTCATAACCGTCAAGTAGCAAAGACTCAACGGACATTGGAAGGAGGAAAAGAGTGCCTTAGAAATTTTATTGCATAAGAACCAAGTACAATACGATCACACTACCACCCAAAAACGATGGTAGCCCACTCAACACAGTGCAAAACAGCACTACCTACACGTATATGTTTATACCCTACACAAAAACTACCTCCTAGATTACTCAACCAAATACAAACAAATATCATTCCGAACTGTTCCCGATATACGAGTTATAGAAAAACAACCCAAATGGTACAGTTTAAGACCATTTTTTTTTTATAGGAATAGAATGCCTCTTTAAAAACCTCCCTCTTAGTAGACCCTTGCCCATAGGCAAGAACCAACTAGCTGAAGGAGGAAAAGAGTACATAATTTTATTAAATATAAAACTTTTACATAAAACTTAAGAACTCTCCAGCCAAATACTACCGACATAAAACACTCCTGACACACTATTCCTCTAAAGCATACAAACCAACTAAATCCCTGACTACAATCACCCAATTCCCTCCTTCGCTAACTTGTCAGCTTCACAATTACAACTCCTAGGAATCCACCTGACAATAGCATGAATTGAAGAAACAGAAGCCACAATTTCCTTAACAAAATTAGACAGAAAAACGGGGGCAGAAACTTGATTAATGATCCAATCCACTGCTGTCTTTGAGTCACAATCGATAATAAGCCTGCCCTTCAACACCCAATCTGAAGAAACAAAGATGTCAATGCCTTTTTTGATAGCTTTAAGTTCTTCTAGAATAGGTGTGGTAGGCCCAACACTTTCAGAGAATGAAAGAAGAGTAACCCGATTCCAATCCCTGAGAATTCCTCCTATACCAGCCATCATCCCAACACAGCAAACAGCCCCATCCACATTCATCTTAAAATAGTCCACCGGAGGAGGAATCCAACAGTACCCAATGCTGTTCCGAACCTTAGGAGCAGAAAAATTGTCAGCCAAAGAGGGATCACCAATTAGAGAGTCTACCTGAATAGAGAATAGGGGATACTTTGCTAAAAACCATTTGGCTAACCTTAAACGAACAGTGAAAAACAGTAAAATTCTGTCTAGTTTTCCTTCTTCAAAAATTAACTCATTTCTCATTTTCCAAATTGACCAAAAAACAGCCCCTGGAATAAACTTCCAAATAGCAGAATTAGGCCTCAAAGCAGCCCACGAACAGAGCAGACTAGGAGGGTCTTGTGGAATAGCTAACTGAATACCCCAGTACCCTAAAAGCTTAGTCCACAAATCCCAAGAAACAAAACAAGAAATAAATAAATGCTGAACTGATTCATCCCTTTGATTACAAAAAGGGCAGAGAGTGTTTTCCCCTAAATGAACCCCTCTTTTCAACAGTTCCACTCTCACTGCAACTTTTTGGTGGGATAGTTGCCAAAGGAAAGTCTCCACTCTAGGGGGAACTAAACCCTGCCAAACACACTTATTCCATTGAAAAGAATCATCAAGAGAAGAAGAAAGAACTCTCCTACAAGTCCCTAGAGTACATACAAGAACATTTATTTGAAAGACAACTTGGAGTCAAACAATAAATGATACATCCAACAAAGAATCAACTCCTCTAGACAACTCTCTACTCTATTCCATTACGAAATTCATTTAGAAATCCAGAAGCAAAATGTAAATTTTATGAAAAAGAATAAGAAATTCAGTAAAGGCAAAAAATCAGGAAGGAATTCAATAGAAAACCTTCTTTCCTTTCTTTGTCTTCTTCTCCACTATGCCACCTAATACCAAACATGGCTGTACTTCATCGATCTGAGGAACATAGGGATTTTGAATAAATTCATCATTTGGTAACACAAATTCCTATGAACCAAGAAAGACTAAATTTGCAATAACATACAATGTCAAGGTCCCATATTTCTATTGATGGCTCCATTGAACCAGCAGCCAAAAAATTTCCTGCAATGAAAAAGGACAAGGAAACGTGAATTATAAACTAATAACCATGGCAACATATGGGTGAATGTTTCCCATTCCTATGATTTCAAAAGATTTCTATTCTAACATGCAACCAAGTCAATTAAGCTCAAGCACTAGGATATTAGGATGTATAAATCCATCAAAACAAGCATGAAATTAAGTACTTGGAAATGTCAAACCTTTTTCTCCCCCTCTAAGTGGGCAGTCAAGCCATGCAGTGCAAAGGGGAAATGCTGAAATGATGACATCATGGTGAACATACATGTTTGAATCACCTTCATCTGAATCCTCATATATCCAAACCTGTACAAAAATAGTGCACAATGAATGGTTAGAATATTTTGTGTCTGAGTTTTTGTGCAAAATTGAATAATTGATGTATATACATAGAGCGACAAAGAAGCTAACATACCTCAAGATGGCTGACATCATCTTCAGTGCGTGCACAAACTATAACAGAATCCATGGGTTTAATGGTCATGTCCTCAATCTCTTCTGAATCATCATCCTGAAAATTCTCCTAGCATCAGAAGCTGAAGAAGTCATAAAAGCATGCCATACAATATAGAAGTTATCATTCGTACATCCTCATCCTTCAAATATGGATCCATTTCGTTGCTTGGGTAGTAAAGGTCACCAAGCCCCTTGCTAAATAACTCGATACCTGATAGCAAGAATTGTTAGATGCTTCAATAGCTCACATAAAATAATAATAATAATAATAATAATAATAATAATAATAATAAATTTTGAAAAAATCACACACGGAAAGGCATAGCTTGTCATAATTAATGTCAAACTCAACCATTTGGAAATGTTCCATGATAAACTGAGAGTAATCCATTCCGAAAACAACAAAATAAATGGAAGAAGCAAATAAAACCAGTAGATCATCCAAGCAAAGATACCATCATCCTCATCATCGTAATTTTCCATGTCAAGTTCTTTCAGGCCATCTGTAAGATCTTCCAATTGTGACCCTGTGTTGTTCTTGGAAGTTTTTCCTAGAGCATCTGCCACAGCAAGTGCTTGGGAAACATCCCCAGTTTGCTTCTCAGCTTCAGCTTCAGCTTCAGCATCCATATCTGCATCTTCATTCTCACTGCCATTATCTTCACTGTATAAAACAAGACCATTAGAATGATGTAAGAAGCTAATTGTTTTATGCTAGTTAACTAACTTTCAATACCTAAAGTGAATAGAGGAAGCCGGGAAAGGCTGATGGCATTTGTTTGGTTTTTCTTATTCCTTTAAGTTTCAAAAAGTTAAAATGACAGACTAACTTAAGGGTAACCAAACCAACCAACTCAGGTATGGGTAACCAAGAATAACCAAACATAATTAACTATGGCAGGTTCAGTTATTCACCAAGTAATTGTACTCCCTTGGTCTTCCACACCCATGGCATTACCATTCACAAAACCTCAAAGCCCATAATACCTAAGCACTCAACTACCAATATTGGAAACCATCAGTTACCAAGAACTGCCAAAAATCATTTCAAAAACTTCCGAGTCTGCTCTTCTATACCACCGAAATTCCAGCACCAAATACAATTTTTTATCCCATTCAAAAATAAAGAGAACCAAAACAAAAACCAAAACAAACAGAAAAACATAAGTTTACCAGAAAAAGAGAAGTACTAAGATTTTTTTTCTTCATTCAAAGTGAATGCAGATTTTAGCGAGTAAAATATTAAAAAAACAAAGAAATAAAAGAAATCCTGAATAGATAGGTAATGGGAACAAGGAGCAAGTTGACAACAACAACAGCAACAGGATCAAAGGATGAGAGTGGCTGACAAGAGGTAGTGTCGGTGAAGGAAGCAGGTGCTCTGGTTTGAAGGAAAGTGAGGAGAGAGAAAAAAGGAGCCATAGAGTCTGAGAGAAGAGAGGAATGAAAACAATTATGGAGCTTTATTGGGAGCTATAATTTCAGGATAAATATTAATAAACGAATTTAGTTAATATTATATAAAGAGTCCAGTTGGTCGGTTTGTTTTCTAATTTTAGGCACCAAAATCCAACCAGACTAACTCATTAATGGTCATCACTAAAAATTGGAAAGTTTCTTCACTTATCTCAAAATACAGCACTATTATCATATTAATGGTGAAAATGCATAGTCATGCCGCATATGATAAAAAGGACTTCAATCAACTAAGGTTCTTTGTTGCTTCAGAATTGCTCTTTTGCTTCCACAAATATAAAGTGTGCTTCAATAGAGACGTAAATAATATTCTGAAACAATCAAAGGTACTTAAATATCTTTATTTTGAGAACAAAAAATGCTTGATTTCGCATTTATGTAGAACAATTATGCTTCAATATGTGTTATACTTGATCAATTTATGATTTTTTAGCTAAGCTACTTTTGAAAAATAAAGAGCAAGATCGACCAAACACAGCAGAAAAATATTTCAATGCAAAAAACATATTAAATCATACTTCCTGATTGCATCTATTATTAAACAAATGCAATTGACTTGAATTTAACAGACTTTTTTTCTTTTACTAGAAAAGCTTGACAAGATTATGAAACAAACAGCGGCAAAGTAATTTTCTTTTTTGATTAAACTAACCCTAAACTACTTTTTCATTTTAATGTTGCAACAAGTAAACATCCAAATTGAATAAAAATCAAGCAAATGAATTTGAATCAATTTTGAGCAGTAAGACCAAAGTATACCTTTTATCTAGGACACCGGACTTGATCATCTCTTCAATCTCTTCTTTGGAAGGTAACTCAACCACTGCTGGTTCAGCTTTTGCTGCCCCTTTCGGCACCCATGAAATTGCTGATATCATCCCTCACACTCTCCTCTTTATCAAAATAAAGTTTCTCCAACAAATAAGAAGGAAAACAGACCGTAAATGTAAAAATCTTAAGAAAAAGAGAGAAATAGGCAGTAACTAATATTTGAAATTATAAATACAAGTTAAGCTGATTACTGAAATAAAATTTGCAGCATAGAGGAAAGAGAGCTGAATGAGGTTCTTCTTTATACCTAGAAGTTCAAACTAACAGGTCAGCAGATACAGACTGACTTAAATTGGTTGGTTAGTTCAGTTATTTCCCAATTCTCAAGTCTCTATTACCGAGCATAAGCCACGAATAGTCTTGCACAAAACGCAGTTTTTTATCCAATAAAAAATAGAGCAAAACCCAACAATATAAAATAAAAATAATCCAAAACGGAAAAGCGTGGCACTCCTTCCACTTCCAAGCGAAAACTTAGTTCTAAAACTGACTCTATTAGGATTGAACTTAAACCGAATACCCGAGTCTGTAAAAACCGACATGGTTTACAGCACCAGAAATACGCAGCAGCAATACGATACAAGAAGCCCCCAATCAAAACAGGATACATCAGCATTTGACGATGCTGTATAGTTGTAAACATGAAAGAGAAGTATACCTTAAAGACTAACCGACACCGGCTGAGACAGCTGACAAGCAGACAGCGAGAGCTAAAGGACGGAGGCAGGTGCAAAGGGTAAAGAACCGGGGGATAGACGATTGAAGGGTAGAAGTGATGAAGGCGTGCGACTCTTAAATTGTGGAAACGGTTAGGGTAACATGTTTAATGGAGAACCGGTTTAGAAATTGGATACATTTCAGTGATGATCCCTCTTATTCTAAAACATATCCTATTATAGTCACTAGTTTTGAACAAGTTACTTTTTAGTCACTTACGTAACCGGTAATTAGTTTGATGAGTGATGACTGTCAGATTAGTAAAAAAGGCTTAATACCCAAATAAGTGCACAAACTATACTCTTTTTACCTAAATTGGTGTCTAACATTACAAATGTGACTACTTTAGGTACTCGGGACGTAACGGCCGATAGTTTTCTCCATTAAGTGGCACGTGTCACAATCTGGTAATTTTGAAATTTAGTGTTTTTAAAAAATATTAAAAAAATTATTATATTTATAAAAAACCTAATTTCTTTTAAATTACAAAAAAAGCCTCAAAATTCTCAAATCCTAACAATAACCCGCCACTGCCACCATTTCCGGTCACGACCACCGCCGCTGACATAGTCCCTGCCATCATCCTAGTTATACGTCACCGTAGTTTTTGCCGATTGACCGTCAGAATCACGTGGTTCCCGATTTTCATCCTAGGGTTCACAGGGAATAAAACGTCAATCGACCGTCGATCAGTCACGATTTCATAGGGGTTTGGTCGCCGGGGGGAGGTGAGGTCGGGTGGAGCTTCGTCGGTGGTAAAGGGCGGAGGGCGACGTGGGTTTAGGGGTTGAAATGAAGGTTTTTGAAGTTTTGGGGTTATTTCAAAATTTGTTTGTTTTATTTTTAAAAATATATATAATTTTATTTTTTAATTTTATATAAAAAATTTAAATGTGAAACATTTTACTTAACGGAGAAAATTAACGTTGTTGACGGCCTGGGCACCTAAAGTGGTAACGTTCCTAATGTTAGAATACCTTGATGACCAAAAAATATTGTAGGCACCTATGCAGGAAAAAAGAGTATGTTTTGGGCACTTGTTTGGGTATTTAGTCTAGTAAAATGATTAAATTTTATCTTAACCCCCTGAGTTTTAGATATAATATTAATTTGATTTATGAATCCAATCAATGTATTTATCGTCGGTCACCACTAATTGTCGTCACCGTTGATCATCGACGACGATGACCATTGGACCTCAAAATTTTCAAATTCAGTCCTTTTTGACGTCTTGAACTAGAATGTGACATTTGTTTCATCGAAAAATACCCCAAAGTCTACAAACCTAGGTAGAACTCTTCAAATTCCTTTCAAAATAAACAATGATAATAAATTTATCGTTATATTTATCTAAAAATAAAGACAATGAAAATTTATATTTATATTATAATACGTTCATATTATAATAATAATACAATTTTATATAAATTTTAATACATTGTATTTTACATGTAATTTTTATTTTCTTTCAAGTGCAGTGTATAAGGTATTTTAGGTATCTGACGAAATTTTAAGTGCATAAATTAAAAGGCTGGTAAAAGGTGAGGATAGACATATTTCTGAAATTTGGTGACTGATAGAACCACGGGCGATGTCGACAAAGATTGGGTGCTAGAGATTTAGAAATTTAAAATTAGTTTCACAATCATTATTGAAATTTTTATCTAATAAAATAATCATTTCGATGATCATTAGAGTTTCATAATCTTGTGACCACGAGAGTCATGGGAGCTCATTATTTTCTCTAATGATGTTCTTGAACCCCCATTAAAATTTGAGAGGATTTTAGCTTCCGGGTCCCCACCCATAATTTTATCTCGTTTTCCTTGACATTTATTGTTGTTGAGCAAATCATGATCATTATTTGGTGCTCAAAATATCATGGAAGCTTGAGAGTGGTACAAAAACCTTCAAGAGCTAGAGTAAGGAGGGTTTACTTCTAAGATGAGCTTAAGAGGTATTTGAGTTACTTAGAAGTTAAGGTAACTCACTCTAACTTTTCTCTACTAGTACATCATTTACATAGGTTTTGTTTGCTTTATCTGAGGGTGGTGAAGCATAGTCCCCAACTATAAGACATTGTTTTTTTGAGTCATTCGACTATTAAAATTTATAAAATTGTCACTCGATTATTCATATGTTCCACGCTCGTCTTTTTCTGTTAAGAAGTTAACAGTTGTCTGAGACAGATGCTAATATATTGACTGTGATATGATAAAATGTGATCTCAAAATCATTTTACCTATATTTTATGGATCGAATCTCCATTTACATTATACTTTCGAGCTTGTGCTCAAAACATTATGGTGGTTAGCCAGTACTTGAAAGCAACGACGATGCTGATAAACATCATTATAATATAATTTTATCATGGCTCGGATAACATGTTCAGACAAAAAAACGTTAATTTTTTAATAAAAAATGATGATTTTAAAAATAAGCTAGTGGCTATTTTATAACTTTTAATAGTCAAATGACTCAACAGAACAACATCTTATAGTCGGGAAATCATTTTATAATTTTTAATAATCAAAAGATTTAACAAAACGACACTCTATATCATGAATTATTTGTGTACTTTACCCTTAATTCTATTGTTGTATAACTTCATTGTTACTAATACTTTTTAATTAAATGTACCGCCATATCTTTTAACTTGGGTCGCAATAGTCATTTAAAATATTAACAGACTTACCATATGAATATTTTTTTTTTTACCTTTAACGAGAACATTATAGTTTTCTTTTTTCTGATCTGAATTACTGGTGGAACACCTCTCCCTCTCAAAAGAACTATCATACAGAATAATGTTCCATCAAATTAAAAAAAAAAAACTGTAAAAATCCAACGCAACATGTAGTACAAATTGTTTGGACTACAATAAAAAAAAGTATCATATTTAACAATAACAAAACCAAACCATGTTTTATATATGAAGGAATAACATCATGACATGTTAACACAATTGCAATTCCATGAGTAAAACCATTTCTCAAATGTCCACCAACCACCTAAAGATCTGCGAAAAAGTTATTTGAACCACTAAAACCAGCTCCTTTATTTGCTGCATTCTTTGTCTTTGTCCCTTCAAAGAATGAAACATCACAACACGTCACGTTATGTAGCATCAAACCAACTGCAACCCAACTCTGGGAATTCCAGGGATCTCTAAATGAAAATGTCATCAAGGTCAAAAACAGAGCTAGCATACCTTTCTTAGAACGAGGAGGATTATCGTCCACGTCCATCTCATCACTATCGCTGTCTGAACTAGCATCTCGACCTTTTAGGGTGTTTTCAGATTCTTGCAATGTATCATTTAGATCCCATAACTGCATTAAAGAAAAAAATAAATAAAGATTAAGTTGAATCTTAATAAGATGTAAAGTCATCCGCCAAAGCAGCTGGGTTATCCCAACCTACTGAATTACTTGTTACAAGTGCCAACCATCACACCTACTTTTGCAGCAAATAACCTCCATACTGTTAATGACCATGCCAAAGAAAAGTTCTCCATGCACATGCAATCATTTATATGCCGGAGAATATACCGGATAAATTTCTAATATTTCATACAACATAATATCATTGCAAACTCGTAAATAGAAGAAAGCCAATTAAAAGGGGAGAGAAATGCACACCTTTAACATCTGATCATGTGATATGCTACCAAGAAATCTTCTATCATGAGAAAAAGCTACAAATAAATTAATAAAAAATACAGAAGCATTTTCAGCAAGCAGGGAAAAAGATATAAAAAAATTTGGAGTGTGAAAAATACAAAGAAAATAACCAACTATTTAAGAGCAATAAATACAAAGCTTAAAGGACAGATTCGCTGATTTTGAATTAAGATTGTAGTCATTTATTCGTAAGAGCACAAATTAACAACACTGTCTACACCATTATATAAAAGTAAGCTCAGAGGCAAAGAGAAAGTAACGTTTGTTTGCATTAACAAGCACATATAGCATGCTAATATTAAACAGCCCACGAGCGTAACCAGCATCTCATTTTTGCCACTAGCTTTTAAATATAGGCCTCTTGCTTTCTAAGTTTAGTGATAAAGCAAACAAATCTGACATTCACTCAAATAGACAAGCATATAAAACATGTTAACATGGAACAGCTATAAATATAGCTAGCACAGGCTCTGCTTTGTTAATATGTTTGCCATTTGCTCATCTTTGTACTAAAGAGACAAACAGAACACTTTTACATTCAGTTGAAAGGAAGTAGTAAAATGACACTTTTCTTTGTCAAATTTTAAAATTTGGAACTCTATAAAGAGAAATTGCATTTGTATCAAAATGCAACTTGTTGCTATTAGCTTTTGAAATCAAAAGCAGGTAGTTATAACAGAAAAGTAAAAGTAGCCTTTGTAAAAATCAAAGAAGATGGCTGTCAAAACTGTTTTATTGAGAAGAGGGGTTAAAGATATCGAAAACCCTCTTTGTGTGTTATGTGGAGAGGAACCAGAATCTGTCAGTCACTTATTCTTTTCCTGAGTCCAGGTTTGGCAAATTTGGATAAAACTACTCCGTTTGTGGAAAGTTATTTCAGTCTTTCCTAATAATCCGAAAGGCTTCTTGCTTTCATGGTTGCATCTTAGACCCTACTCGGATATTTGGAGATTTATTCTAGGAGCAGTTTTGTGGTCTGTTTGGCTGTGCCGGAATCAGATTGTTTTTGAGAATGGCAAGATGGACAAAGATAATTTGTTCTTTTTGGTGAGGTATAGGGTGGCATCATGGTTTTTAGCAAAAATAAGGATTTGTCTATTCATTTGGACAGCCTTGTGGGAGATCTTACTTTGGCGGATAAGCATAAATCCCCCTCTAATTTTCGACTGTCAAGATTAAAATGGTGCCCTCCTCCTTCCGGGTACTTTAAGATGAATGTTGATGGGGCAGTCAATTTTGACTGGAAAAGGAGTGGTATTGGTGGAGTTCTTAAAGATGCTGGTAATAACAAGCTGGTTTCATTCTCTACAGCTTTAGGACCTTGTTCTCCTATTCTAGCTGAGATTTATGCGATCAAAGTGGGGTTAGATATGTTTTTTGATTCAGTTTGGAGGGACAAAGGAAATCTGATTTTAGAAAGTGACTCGTTTCTGGCAGTGAAATGGATCAACAGCCCGGATCTCTGCCCGGTTCACCTTGTTGATTTTATTACAGAAATTCAGAAGTCAGTTGGGCTTTATAATGTTGTTATTAGGCATATCAGCAGATGTATTAATGAGGAAGCTGATGGTCTAGCTAAGTCAGGAATTGGTTAGTGAGTGTGGAGGTTGTTTTTTGGAGCTGTGCTTTTGGCATTTTATTTTGGTTATGTTTCTTTGTTTAGGCAATCTTTTGTAATGTTTGGTAATATTATGTAATTGTTGGTTATTAATCTACTAAGGCACTCTTTTCCTCCTTCCGCTACTTGTCTCCTTTAAAGAGACAACTATGAGGGAGGTTTTTAATGAGGCCTTCTATTCCTATCAAAAAAAAAAATTAGCCATGCACAAAGATCCAGTTAATTCTAAATCAAAGAAAACATAGTTAACTAAACGTTGATGAGGAGGAAAGAAATGTACCAAGGCCTTCAACTGGGTATTCTGAATGCTCTGCAATTGGTTGAATGACTCTGTTAGGTAATATGCCTACTAGGCTGGGGAAAAATTCAAACAAAATTAAATCAATGTTAGAGCAGGCAGATCAAATCAACATCTAAACAGATACATCCTTCTATGCTTAAGCCTCACCTGATGAGTCCATTCTCAGTTCCTGTAATGAGTCTATCTTCATCAAGCTGACAACAAATATTAAAGCACAAAATGTTTATTGATTATTTTAATCCAACCAATATTATAAGAATTCGGAAACCAGCTTACCTTCAACAAAGCCTCAACAGAATTTGGAGAAAGATCAACAAAACGATCACTAGACAACCAAATGTATTATTCAGGGAACAACATATGGTGAATACATCATAGTAAGGGAGGAAGGTTGGGTGGGATGAAGGGGAGAAAGAAATTCAAAATCATGGATGATTCAGAGAAATAATAAGTGATGATTTGTAATGCACAATACCTGCAGTCTTTAAAAAATCCCCATGAATATAACAGCAAAGTTCCAGTTTGTGATCCACAAATGACTTTCCGACCATTCTGACATATACAAGGCATATGAAGATAAAGTTAGGACATGAAAGGCAAAGCTAGATTATGAGAACTATCCTCAAACTCCCAGAAAGACATAATTAAAATTTATCATTACTCTTGAATTAAAAAGATATAATTTATCTCAGAAAGCAAAGAGTCTCTCTCATATCTTCAGAGGGAGCAGAGATGCGCTACCAAATTAATCCCAGAAATGAATTCCTAAACCAAACTCTACAGTTCGTTTCATTCATTAAACGCAATATATAGCTAACAAACAATTCCATGTTTTGTAGATAAAATGGATCTCTCTCTCTCATTACACAAGTGAGCGCTTCTTTTGCACCTGAGCCAATATAAAGGTTCTAGCACCTAGGAGTGCACCTTTTACCACATCACCTGCTAAATGGGGCTCCCCCCTTTTCATGGCACTACTTTGGAAATTTTTATCTACATCACATTTTGTTACATATTCTGTTATCCAAGAGATTTAATTGACCTGAAAATGGAAGTGTGATGGTAGAAATCATAAACTAAAGGAACATGGTTAAATACAAATTTGGTAAAGATAGGGTGGATTTTGGAGAGGTTTGTCCAAAAGTATATTAGATGCACCCATAAAACAATTAAAAGAATGCCCATACCTTCATAACAACAACAGAAGTAAGTTCATCTTCAGAAAATTCAGAGCGTGTTTGAACCTATGATCAACAAAGAATTGAATCAGTAAATCAATTGTCCAAATCCATAATGCAATCAGGTGCATATAACATTTAAGAAAGGCTCCAAGCAAGAGCTTACTTTATAAGTTCGAAGATTGCAAACAGACAGAGTCCCATCTCCACTTAACAATGAAAAATAAAGATATGTTAAGCGTGGACAAAACCATTAGGAAGGACATTAATAGAGAGGAATGACAAAGTAAAGAAGAACAATGAAAAGAAGGAAAATGAATAAATCAGGTATATTGCAAAAGGAGAAAATAGAAAGAAAGATCATAGTCATCCATATCCTTTCTTTTTATATTAAAATTTTCCAACAAACAAATTCATTTAAATCTTAAACAAGCATCTTCTTGAGCTATGAATCATTTTAATTGGCATTTCTTTAGCATATATCATTTCTAATTGAAAGCAGAAGGAAACAAAATCTCTTGTACCCTCGACCTAAATCACAATATTTTTTAAATATACTGCTGAAGTACAGAAATGAGACATGTTTTAAGATAATTAAAAAGGCAAATACCTTGTTGTTAGCAATTTCATGGAATCAGGTACAAAATTCATATCTGAAACGTAGTCTTCATGAGCATTAAAGGAGCCAAGGCATGATCGTTGTCGGGTATCCCATACCTGCAAAGAAAGAAAGCAAGGAACAGTTTAACATACCATTTGCACCACGTGCAATCCACAGAATCAACTAAGAGGGAACCTTAACACAGCCTTCATCGTCTCCAGAGGCAACAGTTGACTCTGTAAGATTGATCAAACTATTGATGGCATTCCTGTACATCCAAAAAAATTGCATTTCAATAACCAAATCAAAAGACAAGAAGTACACCAAAAAGCAGTGAGAACATACTCATGAGCATTTTCAAGACGAGCAATTACTGATCCAGTTTCAACATCAGTTGCCAGAATAGAGCAATCTTTTGAGCCCGTTGCCACAGCTTAACCCACAAACATAATCAACCATCATTAGATCAAATCCAGTGAGAGAAATAAGATAATAAAAGAAAATGCTTCACCTTGTCCACCATTGATAAACCGAACTGTTCTACAGGACTCGGCATGAGCACGAAAATCCAAGCATCTTAGCAGCAAATAAATTAAAGAAACTTTTAGAATTCACTACCAGAAAGTTTGATTCGTCAGTATTAACGTATTAACTTAACAGCAATATATTAAAGAAAGCGTTTAGAAATCCAACACGAGACACTTTCATCCGCAGTAGTAACGTAATTGTGAAAATAAAAATTATTTAATCAACAAAGTTAGAATTTGTACCTTGTAGCGATGAATTTTCTGTATTATATTTGTATCTGTAAAATAGAATCGAATTCAAGAGATAAGTATTTTTGAAATAAACTGGGAAGATAAATAAATAAATAAAAATAGAGGGGAGAGAGGAATACAGATGAAGGTCACCGGTAATGAGAGAAACGGCGACCAATTCATTTGAAGGATGAAAATCGATACCAAAGGGGATTTCACCTAAACTAGCCTCCATGCAGACTCTCAAATACGAAAACCCTACTTCTACTATCTTCAACGGCCAGGGTTTAAAGGTACTGCCTTCTGAATTTTGCTTATATTATTTTTATGGTAAATAACATAGATCATCACTAAACTATATTCTTCTATTTTAGCCACTCATTTTTATTTTCGATTTACAAACTGAACTTTATACATTAACATTGTTTGTCACTCTATTATTTTATTATTATTTTTCTATAAAATGATTTTTTTCAAAATTATTAATATAAAAGTAATTTAAAATAATAATAAAATAATATTTATAATATTAAATTTAAAATTATTTAAAATAATTATTATCATTTGTCATCACCGTCAACCAAGGGCGGAGCTTAGTAAGGGCTCAAAGGGGCCCTGGTCCCAGTTAAATTTATATATTCGATATAATTTTAGTCTAATAGTATTTTGGTTTATGTAAAAATAGATATTTAAATTGAAAAATATAAGAATTCATTAAATATTTAATTAAGTAAGTACCGAAACTAAAGAAGAATAACCTTGTGTTCTCAAAATTTGTAGTCTAATAATTTAGGTCATTGTAAGCTTAAATATTAGACAAATTAAGTGTTATATTGTGAATTTTCAGTTTTTTTTAAATATATGGTGAATAAAAACTAATATTCGTACAAAGACTCTCAACTATTTGACAATGAACGCTCATACTCCTACCCGCTCAGTGCTCGAACTCGGGACCTCGAAGATAACAACAATCTCTTAATCACTAAGGTCTCTTGGTTTGTGCTAAATTTTGAGTTTAAATACCTAATAAGTCTTTATATTTTTCTTAAATAGTACAATATTTCAGCCTCTATCAATATTTAGTTTTAGCTCTGTCCATACCGTCGACCTTTGGAATCGACGGTCATTAGATCTCAAATTATACTAAGAGACTCGCTTTGACAGGCCGAGTCTAAATATGGTGGTTGTTTCACCGGAAATATCCCAAAACTCGCGAATCTCGACTAAAACGTTTAGTTTCCTCACTTTCGATCTCTATTTGGACATCGGAGCACGTTCCAACAAAATGAAAGTCAGATTCAGACTCGGGACAAGATGTAGAGATCGATGAAATCTGGGATTGAATGACAACATTTACGAACTCGACAGTGACATCCAACGACAACAAACAATGAATGACAAACAATTAAATTAAATTTTATATTTTAAATTATTTTTATTAAATAATAATAAAAATAGCATGTCACACAATAGTAATAATAACATAATTCACAGTAATCAAAACAGAAACAATCTAAAAGTTCAATTAGTACAAGCTATCTATGCCCTAAATTGTTCGAGATTAAAATGTATATACTCAAACTATCACAACACATTATCACTCGAATGTCACTCAATAATTACATTACAAATAAAAAATATACTCGTGTGCCATACGTCAAATGACTCATAGCGGGTGAGTTGTGAGCCCTAATTTCGATATTAAAATAGGTTATCTATTCAAACTATAAAAAAATATTTTATTATCATTCACAAACTTATAAATGAATTTATAGTTATTACTATAGTAAAATGAAATTGGTAAAAACATGTACATCTATTGTTGTTTTAATATAATATTTTAGGCTTGGAAATACTCTGATAACCTAAGTCATAGCTCCACGTATTCATTAGGAAAATATTAACGTAAACACATTAAAATTATAATATAACTAATTTATATACTTGTTAAAAAGAAATAAAATGGATGTCCCTTGTTCCCATATGTAATGGGGTAAGGGGGAGGTAATATAATAGGCTGCCCCCAACACCAGGTTGAGAGCATCTTCCGTAGAAGACCTCCGAATTATGACATGCCCTCCGTGAGACTTGATCCCACGACCTCAAGGTTAAGAACATTGTGTTCTACCAACTTGTTAAGAGGAAAGAAGAATGCCCCGCCAACACGTAGACATAAAAAACTAGACGATAAAAGTAAACATTTACTAATAGTATTTTTTATGAATTAGTCGCTTTACACATTTCTCTACAAAAAAAATATTTGTCAAAATTTTCTCTTTCTAACTTAATGGGTTGGCTTTTTTGAAATCTTTGAGGTGTTACAACCACAATAGATGAACTTGGTTGTGAGATTTAGTAGGCATTAACTCTTTGATGATCCTCACACTACAACAAAACTAGTTTATAGCGGTGTTTTCATCGGCATTTTGAGAGAAAAAAACCGCTAATTTAATACATATTGTGGCGTTTACAATGAAAACGCCACAAAATGATAACATCAACGGCGTTTTTGTCCAAAACGCTGCTAAAGACTCGAACTTTAGTGGCATTTTTGAAACAAACGTCGCAATAAGCTTATTTATAACGGTGTTTTTCATTTAACGCCACAATTTTGCATAACATTAGTGGCGTTTGTAACTAAAAATGCCGTAATAGGGTTAACGTTTAGTGGCGTTTTTAGAAAACGCCTCACTTGGCAAGATATCAGTAGCATTTGAAATTGAAAATGCCGCAAAGTTTGAGTTTTTATCTCCTAAAACCCCTAGCCTTTTTTCATCTTCTTTTATTTATGGTTTTCCTTTACTTCCTTTCTGCCGTTTACGCCAAACCCACAAATTAATTTCTACCGATCTCAGTCCTTCTTTGGCTGCTTCGCCGATCTCACAAATTCCTTTCTTCAAATCTGTTGCTTCGTTGTTTCACTCTGTCGGACCCCAAACTCATCCGCTTCACTGCGGATCTCACATTTGGTTGGCAAGTTTTTAAGAAGAGATGATGTTGTTCTTCAAATTACTGAGATAAATTTGATGCATTTTTCGTTAACTTTATTCCCAATTTCTGTTTTTTTTCTCTAAGACATGGAAAATAGAGTTCAAATTTTGGAGTATTTAGCCATTGGGTTTTTCCATTATAATTGAATTTTGTTGAAATAATTATTTGTTTCTTTCGGTGATGCACTCTTCATTTTGTCTAACTAGTTAATTAACATCAGATGTGTACTAATTGTAGATAAAAAGCAGCCAACTGAATTCTATGATTTCCTTTAAATAATTACCGACTCCAATAGAAGTGTATCGACAGACAACAGCTGTGAGGAGGTGGATCAAGAAGAGAAGAAAAGCAAGCCCTTCATCGATTTCTTATCGGTTGGATAGTCACCCTAGCAAACGTCCCTGCCTGTCCCTATCTTTCAAGTATGACATACGCATCAACAGATACAGCTTGCTAATTCCAAGCTTAGGTACAAGGTTGCAACTGAAACACGATATTTAAAAATGTAGTAAATTTAGGGTTTATGTAGAAAACTATGATATATTATGATTTATGTGTGCTACAAATAATTAAGGCTTTAATTTATGATTTATATTTGAGTTTAACTCTTGTCCCTAATAATACTTTAATTTTTTAAAGGATAATATATCGATGTCCATAGATACACCCATCTCAACAAAGCCTGTAGGGTATTGTTTTTAAGTGAAAAAGATGAGGTCGTTGTTTTGTTGGTTGGGCATTGTTTAAGTGCAAAGTTTTCCAAAGCTATATAGGAATGAGCTAGCAGCTCAATAAAATCAATTATGTGACCAAATTCAGCTAATGTAAGTTTTTGAACACAAATGTTATTATTTCTTGACAACTCAGAGACATTAGTTCCTCCCCTTCCTAGCTACCTCCTTTGATTACTTAACTAATTGAGTCACCATTAGCTTAACTTATTTGTCTCTTAGTGACGATACTGCATGCATTGCCTTAGTTTCATCTCCACAGTTATTCATAAAGTGGCATATTATTTCCATAGAAGCAGAGGCAACTGAAATACATAATATAATCATGGATTCATGAAATTGATTGTGCATATTCATGGTTCAAGTGCTTTCCGGAGCTAAATAGTCTAGTTCAAGCTTGTCATCACCTTTTATTTGAATTAGCTTGGCTTGTTCTTGAGTTTGTATAAGCAAGCTATGATGTAATTTAAAAGATTGGCTTAACATTTTTTTTTGTGTGGGGGGGGGGGGGTAGTACAGTGGGAAGCTTTGATTCCATTTGAAAGCAAAAAATGCAATGCATACTATTCCTTTTTGGCTAACTCAATTTCTTGGCAAAAAGTTGACTAGAAATCCGACTCCTATTTCCAAAGATTGAATTTGTTTTCTTCAATGCTTCATAGTTCCAATTTCCAAGCTTTTGATTGCTTTGCCTACAATAAAGCAGTTAAATTGCAATTCTGTATTTACTTTTTTTTATTCTGCACAGGACAACAGTTACATGCATTCTAGAGGTTCTTAGGTCTACCATGTATTTAGAAAGATAATTGTAATAGTCTCTTAAGTTCGAGTTAATTATATCTACTGAGCTAAAGCTTTCAGTATACTAATAATTATTGCCTATCACAGGAGCATGCTACTGTTGCTCTCTAGTATTTCCATGGAATCAGAAGTAAAAACATTGCATTCTCTTTTGGTACGATGTCTGACAAGCTGTGAACTGTTATTCAATTTTTAGCAGCCATTTCATGCTAATGAGGTATTTCTGCTTCTGTTTTTGTAGCACTGGATATGCAGCTATCAAATTTTGTTCACCAAAGTCTGCAAGTATGATTTCTTCCCCTTCATTTTTTATATAATTCTCCCTAGCTTGTAATGTTTTCTAGTAACAAAATGAACTTATTGGTACGACAAATAGGGACGGCTACTGGCAATGGACATGCAATCATCGTGATCTTGCTCTTGTCCATCGTCCTTATCGAACTTTTTCTGCATCGAAAATTTCGTCTACTCAAGACCAAAGTTCTAATGCCCTCCATTATATCCTTATATAAACCTCTTTTTCCCCTCCTTTCTTTTCACCCGGCTAATCCTCACATCTCTTCATTTTCAATTCATATGGAATTAATGTTAAGATGAGTGATCTTACGAGTTGGCCTGAACTGGTGATTCGAGTTCAGTCTTTGTTTGAGAGAAGCAGAGAGAGCAGCGAGATAAGTAGAGAGAGAAGCAGCATTTCAGGAAAAATATGAAGAACTTCAAAATTAAATTGAAGCTATGAAGCAGATGATGTAGCAAAATCAAACGAAGAATTCATCATCCTAGGTGATTTATTAGGTTAATGTTTTGTTTATGTTAGTGAAAAATGTTGAACTACAAAATATGATGTTTGTAAACTTTGATTTATTTATGTTTTTATATATTTTTACTTAATTCGTATCATAATTAAATAGTCTTTATATATTATTACTTAATTTGAATCGTAATTAAATTTAAGGTGGTTATTGAATATTGTTACAGGTTAAATTTGGGTAATATAAAATAGAAAAAATATTTTGAAAATCAGATTCAATTAGCAGCATTTTAGGGGGGAAACACCACTAATGGAGTACATATTTGGCGGGTTTAAAAAAACGTTGCTAAATAACAAACTTGTTGTGGCGTTTGTGCCTAAAAACACTGCTAAATAACAAACATGTTGTGGAGTTTGTGCCTAAAAACGCAGCTAGATAACAAACATGTTGCAGCGTTTATGCCTAAAAACGCCACTAAATAACAAACCTATTGCGGCGTTTGAAAATACAAACGCCTCCAAATTACCTAACCTTTTGCGGTGTTTGTTAGCAAAAAACACCGCCAACAGTTACGGTGTTTGTATTTCCAGCGCTTTTTGTGGCTTTTTTTTTTACACTGGGAGTATTTTTAGCGACGTTTTTAAACGCCACTGTAGGATAAAAAAGTTGCTACAAACCAGTTCTGTTGTACTATCAAAATATTCGTACGAATGAATATCTTCTTCTCACGTTTGGAGTTATCTTATGCTAATTAGTCGAAGTTTTGTTTTAGCAAATACATATAGACTCAACCATTATCATAATCATATGGTTCATTCCCAAGCACATAGTAGCACAGACCAACCTAGTTTACAACCTACGAGTCACAACATGACCATCTGTTGAGAGATCTAACTAGAGTGAAACATAAAGTAATTGTGCACTCCTCACACGAAATATGAAAGATAGACTACCCCAAGCTTCTGAGTAGCCTACATCCCCTAAATATAGACTTATGGCCAACTACAGGGCATAGACAAGATCTCTGACATACAAGACCACTGACATGCCCACATGATATGTTAGAATAAAATTCAAGGTCTGACTACCAAATCCATCTAGCCTATCAGCCTACAAATAGCCATCATAGTCTTTCAACTGATACACACACTAGACCGTTATAAATGCTCCGTTACATAGCTGAAAAAGGAGGTTGGCACCTTTAACAAGCACCATTCTAATTCTTCTTCCTTATGTTTCCTCCTCATAATTGTCCTCTTGTAATACAAAAACACTGGTAAATGGTTGTTCCCTTGTCAATCATGGGTCTTCGCTTAAACTAAAAGGGGTGAATCGTTAATGACAAATGAGCCAAATTTATTCTAATCATCAATTGGTGTGGTGAGAGTAGACAAACTTTATGATCGATTGAATCAGTTGAGATCTCCTCCAAAATTTGATAGGATCATGTTTACCCTCAAGCCTTCTTCTAAAAACTCACTTTAGGCGCCGATTATTCTCTACTGGCAACCATCGATTCGATATGCGAAGGTGAACTACTAGCAAACAATGAAGGATACAGCCCCACGAGCCCCGCTTAACAAAATCCCCTCTAAAAAGCGTTGGAGGATGCACAATTCAAGTCCAAGTTGTTAAATCCTAAGTAGTAACTTGAACATGTGGATGGAAAAGATGACCAATTCCTTCCTTGAATGTCTTCACCACTGTTGGCAAGGGAGCTTTCCATGGAAGAAGAGTTAGAGACATCTACCATTGGCGATCATCACCATGATGTTGCAACACTTAAAAGCCTCCCCGTAAGAGACAACCAAGCTCCTCCAAACTTAGGTACTTGATAAAACCCCTCTCATAGGGTAGTGTGTAAAGTTTTTAAAAACTATTGCATATGAACATTTTAGTATCTCTTGATTGGGGCCTCAAATCTCCTTGAGTGTTCCTACAATTCTCTATCATGTTGCTATTGCATCGAGATGCCACCACTATTCTATCACAATGGGGATGTCCCAACTTTACGACTATAATAGCTTTGAGATGCCTCTGCTCTAAGTGTTAAGATGCCTTCCCTCATCGTAGGAGATATGATGGCTCGAAACATGAGAGAAGCCTCTGCCCATTAACTGTAGAAATGTTGAGTTACCTTCGTACATGCTAACTATGAATTATTTCTATAGAGTGTTGAGTTGTCATTACCCCGACTTAAAGCCACAAAATCGCTCGAGTGGTAGAGTTGCCTCCGCTTCAGTGTTGAAAGGCCTCTGTGCCTGGTAACATCATCGTAAAGATACCTTAATTTTACCTACGATGTATAGCACTCGTAGAGATTCCTCTGCTCCCATCACAGTGCGCTACCGTAGACTAAGTAGCCTCTTTTAATTGACAAAATAGGTTTGAGATACCTCGTGCTATCTCTAAATAAATGGGATTACAACCCTTGACTGGTTGAAAAAGTGAGAGCCTCCTCTCTATCAGAGCATCGATATGTCTCTATCTTAACTTGGAAAAGATGCCTCGATTTTACATATGGTGTATGAAACGTGTAGAGATGCCTACACACCAATCTCATCATATTACACGGACCGAGAAACCTCCTCTACTCAGTCGAGTAGTGTCGAGATACCTCAAACCAACCAAAATAGTGAAAAGCCTCTACTCCAATAGAGTGTCGAGATGCCCCTATCTTAGAATCGTTAAATTACTTATGGAAGCCCGGACGATGTAAAGACACTTCCCACCCTTGCTGATAAAGCATAGAGCCGTCGTATAAGGGTGTCGAGATGCCTCCACTATGGTGGCGAGATTTCTTTGCCACGACAAAGGGAAAGTCGACCTTCCCCCTCAGTTTTCACCTTGTCTAAGTTGTCTCCACTCGAATACTGGGTTTGTCCAAGAATGTCGAGTAGCCTTTTCCTAGCCAAAAAATCTACCTTTGACACCAGAGACTGGAAAAAGAATTAAAAAATATTTGTTGCCACTTCACGAAGACTATAACTTCATGAGAAGAAACCTCTAACCATTGATAAATACCTTCGTGCCAAGAAGGCTTTGTCCATTGATAAATAAACCTATCTCAAGATTTGAGAACCTCGTGTAGAGAAACTAGCGCGAAAGTTACTGAGAAAAGGGTATTTTAACCCATTAATTGAAACTATACGAAGATGCTAAAGCTCTTCATCAAAGAACTCGCACGGGATACCTACATCTTATGAGTTCCACCACCAAATTTAACGATCAATGTCTTTGTGAAAAGGCTTTTGCCCAACAAAGATATCTCCGCATAAAGAGTCGAGCCTCCTCAATAAATACAACTGTAGCTAAGCACTAAGAACCTTGCAGGGAGAAATTTTCGCCTTGTAAGTAACACCTCCATATAAAGCGGAGAGGCTATGGGAGAAACATCCCCGTGGAAAGCGTTAAGAACCTAGGATACACCTTTGCCTTGATAAAAAATAAGGAAAGTTTGACCTTAAACCTTCGTGTTTGAGCACAAAAGAACCTCGAGCTAAGAAGCCTTAGCCCCACGATCAAAATCTTCAGACAAAGCGTTGAAAAAAGAGCTTAAAATAAAATCACCGCATAAAGCATTGAAGAAAAGAGCCCAAAGACACGCCTCTACACAAAGCGTAGAGGATCCCAGACAAATACATGTACACCAAGCGTAGAATATCCCAACAAAAATACTTTCGTATAAAACATCGAGAAATTGACATGAAGAAGCCTTCACTCCATAACAACACCTCCACACAAAGTGTTGAGAAAAGAGAGCTCGAGATGACACCTTTGCACGAGAGATGAAAACTTTGAAAACCTCCTACACCAGTATGTAATTGCGTAAAGCTCTATCATAAACACCCAAAGACCTGCCAGAAAGGTGAAAATTCTCCACTTTCTATAGCATTGAGATGTGGAAACATTCTACAAAGTCCTCTTTAGAATATGACACTCCTTATAAAAAGTATCATGCAGAGTATTGGGGTAATGGCGTTGAAAGGAATCCGTCTCCACCCATTTTATGACTAATGCTCACGAACATAAAAAACTGCGTAAAAAGAAATCTTTGTCAATAACTAAACTAGGCCCCCAAGTACACTTGAGACAGTTGAAATCTCCACAAAAACTATCTTTGGATAAGACGTTGAGAAGTCTGATCACACTTTTTTTTTTACTAAATGGCATAATAAATTAATTATATAGGGAAGAACCTGAGTGGGAATGAATATTTAGAATGTACGTCTGGTAACCGACGTATTTTTTTATATAACCATCAGTTTTCGATTTATTAATCAATTAATTTAGATTAAATATTACAGATATAAGAGCAACTCTTTTAATTCAGTTTACTCTATCCGCAAACGTCATGATTTGATCTGCTCATCTTGCTTAATAGATCTAATGACTCGTCCCACGACACATACTGGTTGTTAGTTCTTCTATTTTTTTAATTTGTGAATTTAATTTTTTTTAATAAAACTTGCGAAATATGTATTCGGATAAACTACATATTTAGTACTTAAATTATTAATTTTGTCCCGTTTTGATACCTTAACTTTTATTTTTTCAAAATCATACATAACATTTATTTTTTGTTTCATTTTGTTACCTTGTCGTTAGAAGCTTAACAGATTGTTGTACGTGGCATTTTATGAGTAAATTACATCATTCATCACTCAATTATCTTCTCATATATATTTTGGACAATGATTTTTTTTAATTTAATTAATTAACTTTTAAATTAGTTTTAATTTACTCACTCTAACTTTCAAATTTTTTATTTTAATTGTATTTTCATAAAAAATTGATAAAAATATTATTTCACAAAAATTATTAATAAAATAAATTATAGTGATTAAAACTTGAACAATTTGAAGTTGAATAGTTAAATTGATAAATATAAAACTTGAGTGAAAAAAATAGGAGTAAGAAGATATTTGAGTGATGAATGATGTAATTTACGCATAAAAATGTCACTACAACAATTCCAATTTCGTTATTGGTACAACGTATACCAAAATGAAATATAAAATAAACGTTAGGTATAATTTCAAAAAAAATTAATATCAAAAAATAATAAAAATAAGAGAAAATAACCTCAGTTTCCAGATTCGCAACGCGATTGTAAGATTCGCAACGCGATTTTGAAAAATGTGTTGCGAGAGTTTGAAAAACGTGTTGTTGCGATAGTGAAAAAGTGTTGCGATAGTGAAAAATCCAAAATAAGTTTACATTTTAACTATTCCAAATTCACGTGGATTTTGAAACAATAAAGAATGTGTTGCGATAGTGTAAAAGATTCTCAAGTGTTTGCAATGCTCAATCCCACATAGTATTGGAAATACTATTGGGAATGAGTATTTAAGGCTTGAATTTCTCACTTCCTTGTTGAGTGGAAGATAACAAGGGAGACTCTCGTGCGCTGCCGCTGCCGCCGCCCCCGTCCCGTCCCGTCTCGGGTCGGGTCGTGGTCGTGGTAATACGTGTATTCGACACGTCCGCGCGGATACTATTTTTTTAGAGAAAATTCTTAAGAAATCGCAACGTGAACTTGGACTATCGCAACGAATTTGGACTAACGTAAATTTGGAAAATCGCGTTACGATTTTGTATTATCGCGTTGCAATAATCAGAATCGCGTTGCGAATCTGGAAATTGATTTGCGATACTAGAGATCGCGTTGCGATTTAGAGATCGCATTGTGATTTTGTTGGTCATTTTGACAAATCAAAAAAAAGTTGATCAAAATCGTATATTATAAGACATTTTCGGTCACTGAAGTTATTTTCTCTAAAAATAATAATTTAGTTACTATACATATAATTTACCTTAAATTTTTGTGACTTATCGATTGGTCATCATATATGGTTGAGATATTGACATAGAAGGATATTAATTTGAATACAATACTAGACTTGATTCGCAAGTTTAGCATTACCATCTACAGAGACCTTTATTGGTACAAGAATATCCTACTAAGATGCTACTAACATTTAATACAACTCTCCACCACTACTATTCTTTCAGTTGATCATTATTCCAATTTTGTTAACACATAGTTAATCAGTTGCATTAAAAGCTAAGTACTTAGCTTTACTCTCTACTTAGCTTTTAATGCATCTGTGCACTAAAATTAGCTGCAAATTATCATTTATATATCCAAAAACGTTGATAAGATATCATTTTGAATTTGTTAACTAAATTTTTGTTTACTAAATTAAAGAATCCCATTAAGTAAAAAATAATACGATTTCGAGGTTTGGAGTTTAGAATTTTGAGATTCGAAATCTAGAATTTAAAATTTAGAATTTAAGAGTCTAGATTAAACAAGAATGAATCGAAGGATGCTTTGATGCGATCGCACCCTTCAAAATTTTAAATTCTTTTTATATTTTGAATTTTTCATATTGTCTATTTACCTGAGATTCAAAGTTAAAGGTCAATAAGAATGGATCGAAGGGGCGTTCTTAAAAGTTTTAAATTCTTTTATTTTTTTAATTTTTTTTTATAGTTTTATAGATTATCCACTGAAATTTTATAACTACCTCCAAATTTAGATTAACATCGAAATATAATAAAGAGTGAAGTTTGGGAATTAGATGATCAAAACTTGAGAATCTATCTGCCAAAAAATTTAGAACCCTGAAGCAATCTGGCTATATATCAGCAGCAGTTGATGCCCGTATTTGAAAACTGACTAGACAAGGCAGACCCACCCCCACCCAATTCCCTTCTCTGCCCCTTCGGCTTTACCATTGGAGTTGGAGGTGCCCATTTCCCTAAACCCACCACTTCACCTCTCGGTGTAGGTTGTTCCCCCTCTGCTCTGCCACAACCACCGACTTTACGAGTTGCAGAAAGCCATTTGGAGTGCACGTAGGTGGTAGTCCTCCACGGTGGTAGATGGAGTCCCGCCTCTCTAAACGATTGTTTGGCGGCGGAGCAAACCACTGATATAACATTCCTCAGCTTTTCTCCACTTCCAACAAAGATGGATGGAAGCGCGTCTGTTAACTCCTTGTAAGTTGGTGAAGGCCTTGCCAGTTCAAATTGGGACTTGAAATCTATGTCTACTATGAACCTCTCAGTGTCACCATTTTCGTTCTCCTTTACCATCTCGATGTACTCATAATCACCTGTTCATATAAACAAAAATCAGAATCCACAAAACAGTATACTTAGTTCTATGTAAGACAGAAACTGGGCAGAGACACACCAGCAGGACATCCTGAGGAAGAAACCCAACAAGTTCGACATAAAGAAGCATCAAAACCATTCATTTTGAGCCATTTCTTCAAACCACTACTTCTTTGGACATCCCTTTTGCTTCTGATATGCTTCAACACAATCTCCATAACCTCTCTCTCAAAATCTGTCCCACTCCTAAGAATCTCCTACAGTGATACAGTAAAAAAAACACATAAACCAGCAAAACATTGGGAAAACCATACATACACAATATACATGTACATGTATATACCTGTAAAGTAGAAATCTGAGATGGAAGATGATTTGAGACAGAAGAAAGAATGGGTGAAGATGGTTCTGATTCTATGAAGTCATGAACCATTTGAACCAGCTGTTCCTCTTCCAAGCTTCCCATATTATATCTTCTTGATGAAGACTTGGATGAAACTATGTATGTGCTATATAGCGGTGGTGATTATATACAGACAAAGCAGGCACTGTGAAGGGATTTGATATATTGGAAGTTAATGAGGGGGCTAAATGGGAAATGGGGAACATGCCCTATGTTTTTAGCTTGCTGAGAAAGAATGTGGAGATTGAAAATGACAGTTTAAAATGGTAAAATGGTGTGTGGTTGCTTCCAGGGGAATGTCTCAGGAAAGGCGGGTTAATATACGGCTAATATACAGCATTACCGGATACATTAAAATGTATTTAATAAATTCGGTTTAGCGGTACCTATTATGTTGACAACTAATAATGTTTTAGGTAGAAAATATGAAAAACTATTAAAAAATTTGGTAACCGGTAAACTTTGGTTATCGGTAAGTATCTATCCTTTTTATAAAAGTGTCCATACTTTTAACATATCAAGTAAATTTTACCGGTTTTGTCATAATGAATCTGGTTTTGTCATATTTTTACCTGTTATATTGTAAATTATCTATCCTTTTTATAAAAGTGTCCATACTTATTTCACTGTGAAAATATATTTATTATTTTAGTTAATATGTTAAATTTAAAATCTAAATAATTTTATAAAATATCAAAACAATCAAATAATTTTTTGTGTAAATGAAATTATTAAATTAATATGTAGGTGGAAAACATGAAACACTATTAAAAAAATTGAAACATAAATTACATAACTTTCAAAAAAGTATATATCATTTTTATAAAAGTGTCCATACTTATTTCACTGTTGAAAACATATTTATTATTATATTTGGTTAATATTGTTAAATTTAAATTCTAAATAATATTTATAAAATATCAAAACAATCAAATAAAATTTTGTGTAAATTAAATTATTAAATTAATATTGTAGGTGGAAAACATAAAACACTATTAAATAAATTGAAACATAAATTACATAACTTTAAAAGCAGTTTTAAATCCTAAAAAGTGTCGATACTTTTAAGAAATATATCGATCCAAAACGATATACCAGGTAAAATATGATAAAACCGGTAACAAAATGATAAAACCGGTAAAATTAAAAGTGTCGATACGTTATATAAGGATCGACACTTTGTGAATTTAAAAGAGAAGCAGTTATAGCGCCTATAATGTGTCGATACTTTAAAAAAAAATATCGATCCACAACGATATAACAGGTAAAAATATGATAAAACCGGTATCAAAATGATAAAAACGGTAAAATGATACCGGATATATTGAAAGTGTCGATACTTTCGTAAGTACGTGTAATAATTATCGACACTTTCAAAGAAATAGGTAATTATCCTTTCGAAAGTATCGACACCTGACATAAAAGTATCGACACTTTTGTATTTGTATCGATTAAATATAAATAACATATCCGATGAAAATATAAGCTAATATCCTCTGAAAATAGATAGAACGGACGAGTTTTGAAATCGAAGAGTAATTGTTGCTGCATTTCAGAAGGCGTTTCTAAAGCGAAGTTTGTTTTTGTTGCTGCAGTCGAATCGAAAAGTATGTTGTCGAAACCCTAATTTTTTATTATTACAGTAATCGCGATAGGGTTTTTTATGTGTTGTTTGGGGTTTTGGAGTAAGGAAGCATTTGGGACCGATTGCAGGTAGAAATAGATATTCAAGGAAAACGATAAATGTCGATACTTTTATTAAATATTATAGGTAGAAAATGATATTATAGGTTGTATAATGTGCCGACACATTTTGGTGTGGCCATTCAAATTCTTTTGAAGAAAACCGTTTTACCACAAGAGTAGTTATCTATATTTGTATATTGAAAAGTGTATGTAACAAAATAATTGATTGCGTAAACTGATATATGAAGGAAAAATGGAGTCAATGGGTTGGAAAATTGTTGGTGGAGCAGATGACTTTGAAATTGAGGCCGAGACTCGAAAGCAACCAAAGGGTGGATATATGTACTTCTAGTAAGTATCAATGTCTTTTTGTTATTATTGTTGAAATGGTAATTGGATTAAAGTATCGATAAACTTTAAATTGATTACAAATTTTAAATGTTAACAGTATGGCCGAATGCAAAAGGATGAAGGGAGATGGCACACAGAGCGGTTCGGTATGTAAAATGAAATTGACATGAGTAGTATTAGTATTTAGTTAATGTATTGATTAAGAAACGTTTATGTTTAATATTAGGTGAAAAAAGATGTGAGGTCCAAATGGAATTCAATGAGTGATGCTGAAAGGAACCTTACATCACACAGTCAAGGAATGATAGTAAAGAATACAAAGAACGGAGGAAAGCACATGAAAATAAGGTATTCATTAAACTTGTAAATACGTTGATACAAAATATATAAGAAATAACATTATATATTGTTAAAAAATGTAGGAAGTTTCGACAAGATGCAGCATTAAAAGGGTGAATTTATTAATTAAACACCTTAAGGAGAAGGGTCAGTTGAATGTGCTGGGAGAAATAGGTTTTGGATCGTTGATCGGAGTAAGGGATCGACCTATTCGGAGGGAATTGTGTCGATCCTTGATGGCACAATTTGACGTCAGTCAATGTATGGCTAAGTATGGTGATTATTCATTCCTCTGGGGGTATCGACTGCTGCAGCCGTATTGGGGGTACAAAACAAAGGCAAAAGTGTTATAGAAGTCTGTAGGAGTAAGAACTGGAAAGCACTTGCCTCCAAATATGGTTTGAATCATAAGGTGACATATACTGAAGTTGAAGAGGATATCAAAAGTGGATCTTACTTGGGGGATGAGCTGAAGGCCCGAGTTCTATTGTACCTTGTCGGTATATTTCTTTGTCCAACGGGTGATACGTCAACGAACAAGGAATATATGAAGCTCATTTGCGATGAAGGCTTGAAGGGTGAATTCAATTGGGCTGAATATATCCATTCGAGATTGATTGAATCAATTATCACCTTTAAAAAGGGCAGCCAGAGATACCTCAAAGGGTGCATAGCAATCTTAGAGGTAAATGAGTTGAATCACTTTTTTGTGTTTTTATATAAAAATTCTAATTTTATTATAAATGCAGGTTGCACTGTTCGATTTTTGGTCGGGCTGTGAGGCAGTGCCGGCTTATGAAAGAACCGGAGTGGCACGCATCCGTGCATGGGGGAAGGAAGAGGTGGTTAGAGTGATGGTGAAGTTGAAGTTGGATAGAGGGAAGAAGCAAGAAATGGTAATAAATGTAATTAAATAATATTAAGAATATAATCAATGTCTTAATATTGTAATTTAATTTTTTGAAGGTTATTGGCAAGGATGTAGAGGAGGCAGTGGAGGCAGAGGAGAAGAAAGGAGGGATGGTTGTATTGGGGGATGAAGGTGAGTGGGACGACGGTGAAGCAAAACAGAGTAACTTCGACATTTGATGTCTGAATTGGCTGATATCAAAAAAATCCAATTTGAAATCATGCAAAGACAATCAAGAGTCGAAGAGAAACTTGATCAAGTCGTAGAGAAACTCGAGAGGCATAAGGGGGTAGTGGAAGGAAAAATAGATGGAGTGGTGAAAGAAGTAGAGGTGTTGAGGGGTGAAGTGGTGAAAGAAGTTTCGGTGTTAAGGGGTGATATTAAGATGGTGACGGGAGAAAAATTTGAGGGAGTGGTGAAGGAGGTTGTTGATTTGAGGAGTGAACTTACGGGGGTGAAGGGGGTGGTTGATAAATACTCGGATGAAGGAGCTCAATTGAAGGGTGAAAAAAAGATATGAAGAGCTATGTAGAAAAAAAGTACGATGAACTGAAAAAATATGAAGAAGAAAAGAGGGAGGAGGAAGAAGAAGAGATGGAAGAAATGAGGAGGAAGGAGAGGCCCAATGTGCTTTATACACCGGAGAGTGTCATAGCAGCAGTGTTGGATTCGGAATGTCCTGCACCCCAGAAGAAGAAGCAGAAGGTAAGTTTAATAAAAGAATACTTAATTTGATTTTTATTATGTTGTTGTGACAAAAATTTGTATGCAAAATTGTAGGTTGAAAAAGCGGACATTCCAACTGGAATTGATGACATCGAAGCTGCAATTTGTGATTATTTATGGAATAGCGAGTTAGAATCGGGGTAAGTGAAATATATTGTTTGTGAGTGATATTTAAATATTTCATGACAAGATATTAATCCTAATGATTCATACAGATATTCTGTAATATCAATGGGAAATCAATTCGCTACTGTATACGACGTTGCAACGTTGAAGCCTACAGAATGGGTTGGCGGTGTGGTAAGTAGAAAGAAAAATAAATAAAACTTATTGAATATGTTCTGATTGTGTAATTAATTTTGTTAGGTTATCGATTTGCTCGCCTGGACCATATGCTACGATTCTCAAAAGTCACACCGGAGGATTGGCTACCTTCCATACCTCTTAGTGGTGAGTTAAATTAATAAATATTGAAAAGTAGTGTTATAGACGGTAAATTAATAATGTTTGTTGCGTAATTACAGCAACAGGCGTTGGAAGCCAACAATAAAGAAAGTGTTGAGAATATTTCTACCTTCTGGGGTGTCATATTGGATAACTATGTGAAATTCACGGACTGTGAGAAGGTAAGACACCATACCAATTGCAAATGATGTTTTCGGATATAGAATGTTGAATTTTGTCAAATTGGGTGTGAAATTTGTTGCAGATAATGATCACAATAAACTACCATAATTCACACTGGTATCTGTTGGTGTTGGATATGGTAGATCATGTTGTAACAATATATGATAGTATGTTTACAACTGAAGCAGCTAAACAGAGAGTGAAGGATGCTAAGAGATTGGTATGTATGTATGTATGAAAGGACATTATGTAAATTATAATGCATAATTTTTTTGGTGCATAACTTCTTCTATTTTAATGCAGATTAAAATATTAGATTCTTATAATAAGAAACGCATTTGGGTTGAGTCATGTGGATCTCTAGGAAAGTATCCCTTGAAAAACTTCAAATTTGTGGAGCATAAGAAGAATAAGCAATTGAATGGGTATGAGATGTTATCACAAATAGAAAGCTTAATTTATG